TCAGCCTTATACATTTACAGGATTTATAGATGCAAGGTATTCTGGAGTTTTTTGAGGTTTCTAGATTGAAACTTTTTATTTTATCTTTTAGCCATTTTATAGAAAAGGCATCTGGCACTTTTCATAAATGTTCAGAGGTAACTTTAAAGTTCATAGAACATTATGATCATACATAGAAAACACTTTAGTTAATCCTTCCAAACTTGTAAGACTCAAGCAATCTCTAAAAGCCTCAAGAATCTAACCATTCTGCTAATTCAAAAATAATTTTAAAATGACTACAAAAATGTTCACATTCTTCTCCATATTCCAACTTTACCTAAATCTACTTATTTTCACCCCCAGGTATAGTAAACCAAGACATCTCTCTATTAGCATCCAATAAATACTTACTTAATTTTCTCATACCTAACTCAAAATAATCCAGACATTATCCTATCCATCCAGTTGTTACTCTGAAAATTATTTTAGTATAATTATTGTACTTTCTCTTTTCTCTTCACAATAGAAATACTTCAGCAAGTTTGGAGATGCTCTTAGTTTTTTAAAACTTTCAATTCCTGACAGGATATATTATCTGTAGTATTAGAAGCCTGCTGGTAAAATTATTAGGAAAATAAAAGTATCAGATTTTAGACAGTGATGTTAGCAAAAAGGCCAAGTAAGGAACTCCAAAAGCCAGTCCCTCCACAAAAGCAGTGAATAAATGGCAGAATTTGTCAGCATCAACTTTTTCAGGATTCTGAAACTAATTGAAAGTTTACAGCAACCAGGCAAAATCTTAATCTAGAAAAAGCACCTGAATCACAGTATTTAAGGAAATCTCTGTTGAAACACTAGCAGACCACTAAGTTAACAAAACAAAGATTTCAGTGGACACACATGACCAAGAATATAGACTTTACAAAATTAGTTCACAAAGTCACTAAGCAAACAAAAACCACTAGAGTAAGTAGCAACAGCAAACACTAGGGTTGGGGAAGAATCTGATTTCTAGAGTTGTCACAATGTAATGTTCAAAATACCCACTTTTCAACATAGAATTATGAAGTATGCAAAGACATAGAAGGTATGGCCTACACATAAGAGAAACAGACATTAGTAAGAAATGTACCAAACAAAGCCTAGTAATAATCGGATTTATTACACAATAACCTTAAATCAGTTATTTCAAATGTGCTTAAAAAGTTAAAAGAAACCATGAGAGCAACATCTTCCAAAATAAGAAATATAAATAGATTAAAAACACAAAAAGAAACCAAACAGAACTTTTGGAGTTGACATATTCAAAGTGCTGGAAAAAAAAACAAAACTGTCAACCAAGAATTTGGTATCTAACAAAAATATTCTTCCAAAATGAAGGAGAAATTAAGCCATTCCAAGATAAACAAAAAGGGGAGAGTGCACTTTACCACTAGTCCTGCTCTAGAATAAACGCTAAAGAAAGTCCTTCAGTCTGAAATGAAAGGACACTAGACAGTAGCTCAAACCCACAAGAAGAAATCAAGAGTACCAGTAAGGAAACTGCATACATAAATATAAAAGTCAGTATTGATGTATTTTTGATTTGTAATTCCTCTTTTTTGCTATATGATTTAAAAGACAACTACATAAAACAATAATTATGAACTATTTTGATGGGCACACGATGTACAAAGACATAACTTCTGACAAAAACATAAAAGGGGATGATGCTATATAGAAGCAACATTTTTACATATGATTGAAACCAAATTGGTATTAATTCAAAATAGATGGCTATAAATTAACATGTTAATTGTAATCCCCAAGGCAATCACTAAGAAAATAACTAAAAATATACAGCATTATGTATCTTTGCATTATACCATATACAAAAATTTATTCAATGTGGACCAAATACTTAAATATAAGAGTTAACACTATAAAAGTCTTTGAAGAAAACATAAGGGAAAATCTTCATTATACTGGATTTGGCAATACATTCTTAGATATGAGACAAAATATATGAGCAACAAAAGAAAAAACTGGACTTCATCAAAGTCAAAAACTTTTGTTCATCAAAGGACACCATCAAGAAAGTGAAAAGGCAACCCACAGAATGGGATAAGGGGATATAGGAGTGACTGCATAATGGTTACTGGATTTCTTTTTGGGGTGATGAAAATATTCTGGAGTTAGTTTTGATGGTTGCACAACACTGTAAATGTATTGAAAGCCACTGGATTGCACATATTAAAATGGTTTAAATGGTGATTTTTTAAAAAATGTTCAACACTTATGGTTTTTCCAAAACACAAAAAAGTAGTTGAGAATTCAACTAAGTAGAGAAGTGCGTGTATTTAAAAAATGCACTTCATGAAAAGTTGTAATGATTTTGTTTTTCTTTTTGTCTTATTTTTCCTAATTCCAATAACCTGAAATTAGCCCAGAAAAGTTTCTTTTAAAAAAAGTTAACTTCTGGCCTACATTTAAAAACAGCCATTTTATTTTACTTGAATTAAAATTTAATTGAATTAAAATAAAATAAAATAAAACTTCCATTTCTTTGAAAAAAAGTAAATAAATTACTTAAAGTAATTAAAATTTAAATTTTAAAATAAAATAAATTAAAATAAAACTTCTGTTTCTTTGAAAAAAATATATCTTTTAAAGAAAAATGACTGGCCTTCTTTATTAAATACTAGTATCAGTCCCAAATGAGATTTTTAAAATAATATATAGTTAACTGCTATGTATAATACAGTTTTAGGATTTAAAAAGTTGAATGTAATGTGTCAAGTTTAAAAAATTAACAAATATCAAAAAAGTAATAGCTTTTCCTCAAAGCAAACATTTAAGTTCTTTAAAATACAAGAAAATAATGTCTACATGAAAGTAAATTCTTTTTATTTGATTATTGTGTCAGAAGGTAGCACTAAAATTCAACTCAGCAGGTTAAAAATTAGTTTTATTCTAGAATAACTGGTGCATACCCTGAAAACACACAAAATATGAACAGCTATAATTTGACTACACAGAATAAACTATGCTAAAAGAATTTGAATATAACCACAATCATTTTTACTGTACCATGAAAGAGTCTGGACCCTCCTTCTGCACTACTCATAGTTTCTCCGAGATAGTAAAACACCACTGGATAGTCCACTGTGGCTGGAAAATAAGCCTGAAAACTCTGGCACGAAGACAGGTGGGCTTTACCTCCCGAGAGCTTCCGAGGGACTCTCTGGGCCTCTTCCTTATCACCCATTTTTCTCACCCAAACTTCTTAGAAAAGAGAATTAGCCCAATAATCAATTATCCCTTCCTAAATTTGCACATCAAGCTTCAAAAGTAATTGGCAATTTAATAATCACTATACATATAGAAATTTCTAAAGACATACATCAAAATAGTTAACTATTACATCTGAAGGGGAAAAAAAATCCCATAAAGCAAAAGTAAATCTACAGTGGTTATAGGCCAATTCTACAGACATCTTTCTTTCTATATGACACAAAAATCAAAAGAACTGCAAGTGACTAACTGTATGATTATAACTATCCTGTGGCCATCAGTCTTGATTATATTTAAAATATATATTTTGCTATTCCTCATAATGAAAGGGTAAGGCACAACATTTATATTTCATATTGATGATGGTTTTCGTCTGATGTCAAAGTCTACTCTCAAGACAGCAGACATCCAACATTATTTTCCTCTAGCTGGGAAGATGACAAACAATTAGATTTCAAAGGTAACATTAACTGGTATAAAAAGGTATGTCATATACATGACATCATTGATTTTTCCTATACAAAGTCTCACCATACACCAAAAAAATCTAATCAAAGATGTCTCTTTTCCTACAAATCCAAATTTCAGATTTCTAGCATATATGGATTTTATGTGATTGTACCTAAACCACACTGACTGGCTAAACTTTTTTAAATGGGAAGAAGGATAAATCATAGTTTCAAAGAACATTACTTAAATATAGCACTCAGAGTATTAGATTTTTTTTCAGAATGCTTTTGGTGATATGAAATACTGCTAGTTACCTTTAGTATCAAAGAATACAGAGGCTTAGTGTTTCTAAAATGTTAAAACATATTAAATATTAGTTTGCTAATGTTATTTAATATCTCCTTAACAGGATTCGTCTTTAGGATATTTTAAGTGATTTACAAACTATATTACATAAAAAAATGATTCACAAAATTATTCTAAATATGATTCACTTGTAAATTAATATATCTTAAAAATATGAGGTATTTATATTTCCAACAAATTGTCTATCAAACAATAACAGAAACACATAAATAGTATTTCTCTACTTTTAAATAATGAAGTAAGGTGACATCTTTGAACCTGGAGTGATAACAAAATACATAGCCAGTATTAAATCAATATTTAATGCACTAAAATTTTTAGTTATATCATAATATCCTTATTATGCTACTCATCACTACAAATTAAAAGTCAATTTATCATACAGAAGTAATCAAACTGAAAACAATAGACTATTATTAAATATATTCCATTTCTACTTTAGGAATGCATTCTTACAAGAAGGTAAAATTACAACTTGAAAAACATTACTGCCTAGTTAAGGTATATGAGTACTGTCAAATACAATACATTATGTCTCTATATATGTACATAGGATAGTACGTCTAAGAGTGGTGAGAGGTTAGACAATGTGGTCAAACATTTTATCATTATGAGACACGTAAGAATCTTAATGACCTTTGGACCAGTCAGCAAAGACCACAAATAACTCAAGTGCAATTATACCAGTTTGGGGAAACCACTATTTTCATAGTTTTATCAAGGACAGAAAGTGAATTCTGATAAAAACTATGCAAAATAGCATTGTACAATACAAATTTTCAGTCATTTGAAAGGATCTTTTTCTTAATTTACTTCTTAAAAGCTACAAAATGAATTAAAGTACTTCATGGTTAATAAAATTAATGACTAGGAGAACACTGTTATAATACTAGTTGAACAATACTAAAGAAAAATTAAAATTATAGTACCTTATGAAGCATATTTTCTATTGTTCTCATATGATTAGCAACACATTCTTTGTCTCTAGAAACAAAATAGAGATAAGGTATTAGTAAAACCCAAGCCTTACTACAACTGTTACACATTTTAGTATGTCACTATTATTGAAAAGTAAGAGTTGCTTCATTGTACTTCTTCTAAAAGTGTAAAACCTAACTGGTATATTTCTACATTTAACTATTATCTTCAGTTATATTGCCTGCCATAAATCAGAGGGAGAAAAATATCTTAAGGATACCTTCAAAGTTAAAAAAGAGTGAAAAGAAAGAAAATAAAATCATGATTACCTTATTGATTTAAAATGTACTGAAAAGGCTAAGCTTGTATTCTTTTGGTTTCCAACAGAGGACTTTAGAAATCTTAGTAGTGGAGATATAAATAGCCACACTATGCAAAATAATATTTTCCTTTCTACACAGGCTTTTTGTGCAATAATAATTACACAAAAACCCTCTATGGCCTTGACTAGAAATATGCAAAGTTCCTATTTTCTTCTATAGCTTTGTGTATTGAATTTAGCCTTTATAATAAAATTAAAAGTTTGGATGAAAATGCTGAAGACTAAAATTTAATGGTGAATTATAAATTGAAAACTGTAAATAATGTTTTAGCTCTCCAAATTTCAAATTAGCTTTCTTCAGTGTTATAAAAAGCATGTGCCCATGGTCACATATCACAGACATGACAAATTTCTGAATTAGCAGCAATGTTCTGAAGACACTATATGAATCTAGAGGTTTTATAATCCTGTTTTCATTAATCTTGGAATTTTCAGTGCTCTGAGACATACTAGAAATTACCCAGGCTAAGATTCTCATTTGACAGAAGGAAACTGAGACTGAATTAATGACAGCAAAAAGTTGATTTAGTCAAAGTTGTATTTTTAAAAAATGACAATTACATATACCTAATATGGTGGCACAATGTTATACAGCTTTACAATTTTCCAAAAATGTACTTGGGGTTTTCAAACACGCCAATATTGTGGCGTTGTGTAAACTAAGTGTTTTAATTATATGTGAGCAATTTTCCAAGCCCACTGACAAAGCTGTGGATATTCTAGGATTGCAGATTGCCCGTTCTGTGATTTAGTTTATAGACTGTATTCATATTTTATATTTATGCTTAATAAGAGAGTTTGTTTCCAAAAATTTTATATGTACATATATTTACAAATATAGGGATCTAGAATCCAAATTAGGAAAACACTGAGTTTATTAAAATTAGATGTTTCTTTAATCCATAAATAGATTTTCTTTAAGCCATGCTGTTGTACAAAGGACTGGCTTAAAGTACTCCATGAAATTTGATGTGGGGAACAAATGAAAATACCCAAGAGAACTGTTCAATTTGAACTTCAGAGTGTATGTCAACTTGATTACCTGGTAAAAGGAAAAACACTCTCATCACATTTACATAGTCGCCCACTCTGAAAACTGCATATTTTTTTTCCTATTTAACATATTTGAATATAAAGCTATAAAATTAAACGAATTTTCCATAATCAATATGTTTTTATTGCACTTGAAAAGATGCTACAACACACATGTTGATTATATACTAACATTGCTTTATGGAAATAATCACTTGCAATAATTTTAGTCTATTATAATATATGCAGAACAAAAATTGGGAGGCAGTAGGGCAGAAAGAAATGAGAAATACGTGATAGAAGAAACTATTCACAACTTTATAATAAAGAGTCTTATATCTCATATTACTGAAAATATTGTTTTAAACATGTAATACTACAATCGAGACTAAAATACACACAAAATTATATAGAAACTTATTCTTTTCTGAGGTTTCTCAATAAAATATACATTTAGTATGTTGAGTTAAGAGTTTTCCTTTTTGAGGATATATCAGAGAATTTCAAAGAGAGACAGCTGTACTTTTGTTTTCTAACACTGTATTATCCAGGGCTAAAACCCAGAGCATGAAAGTAAGAATTGATCTTTTGTCTGTTTTAAGTGATCTCCCCAAGGTCCAAATGCTCACTTGGCTGCCATGCGGAGGGCACTCTCTGCATCATGGATGTTCTCCTCTAGTCGACGCTTGTCCTGCTCCAGCTGGGTAAGATGTCTATTGAGCTGACGCAGAGATTGATCTTTTCTTCTCAGCTCCATCTTTGCCTCGGAGAGACTCTGCAAGCAGACAGAAAACAGAGTTACTTGTCAGCCCTGATAATTAACTTCAATTTATGCCATAGGCTATTAAACAAAGAAGGATACAGACTGACTGAGAAGTAGACTTGGGTCATTACACATCAAGGCTTAACAAATTTTCTGCAAAAATTTTACATACTTACTAATTAGAAATGATAGACCTGATATGATTCTGAAAAATGTTTAGCTGCAAAAACAACTCTATTTTAGTTTTTAAAATACTGCAAGGCAAATACATTCTATTCTTACTAAAAACATCTAATTATAAAAACCTCAGGTTGCACTTTCTTTTAATGATGAAAAACTAAAGATTTCAATGGTAAAAGAACATGAAATTTAGAGTCTATTTAAAGCAAGAATTACTATATGCCCAAAGTGTATGTGTGATTGAGAGGACGGTGGATTAGGATACCTATAAGAGAATGGGGAACCCAAGATTTAAAGTGCCAGTACTGTCTTCATAAATGTGTCTATAATAGTTAGGTTGTCATAGACATCTCAGTGAACAAACACTCCAAAATAAAATTCACTTATTTCCCATTAAAAACTCTCATGTCAGAGATAACAACACAAATGTGATCAACATGTTTCAATAGAGAGAGCTATAAATAATACTTGCATTTGGAATTATGTTCCATAAATACTTTCCTAGTCACAGAAGGATAAAATCTGTCAACTGATATTTGCTATGTGCTTTAATCTGAAATATTCACTTAGCACAAAGATTTCAAGATGCAAGGGTATACCTTCATCTTGGAACTTTGAGGCTAAAGGTCTTAGAATCAGACACTCTTAGGTTAAAGGAGTATTTTCTAGACTTTACTTTAAATTTTAGGATGTAAAATAATATGGGGATCAGAGGATCCCTTAGCACTAAAAATCTGCTCATTCCTTTGCCTATTAAATTTCTAGACTATGAGCTTATCAAACAGTTTTTCAATTAAGTTTGTGAGATAGTGAGCTAAATAACTGATTTCATACACATAATATTTTTTCTTCTAAGAGTTTAGCCACACATTAACATCCACAACCAGTAAAGAACAACCAAAATGCAATAATTTCACGTTTAAAACTCTTCTAATAATATTTTAATGCACTCACAATAGATAAAGAATTCAAGATGCCTGTATGGAGCTGAAACAATTAATTCATTCTACATGCTAGTGAATTAAAAGTAATCATCAGCCAAATCACCTATTTTTAAATGCTAAAAAAAACTTTAATTCAGTATTTCACTTTTCAAACAATCAAGTTGCTGTCAAACACGTTAAAAAATAAAAATAAACAAACTATGACCACTTATTAGATATTATATTTTATTTTAAATTTTTAGTATTAACAGATCTTCAAGAACATCCCACTATGTAAATAGTCACTGATTCAAACAAACTTTAAAAAGACAACAAAGAATAGATTTTAAAAATCATGCTAAAGTAAATCTACTTATTTTGCGCCAATGTTAAGATTATTAAGACACTGAAGTACCATGAGATTTCTTTCTTTAAAACATAAAACCCATCTGAGTACTTTTAAAGCCACTATTTCTGACAGATTTTAGGCAATAAAAAATGCTATTTTTCAGATCTGAAGATAAAATTAATGATCCACCACCAGTTATACATAAAGCTTGAGTTCTTTTTCCAACAGAAATAATAGATTTGTGCCAATCCATTCAAATTCTCTTGCTCAGTAATTCTTATGACTAGAAGTGTCTATCAGTGAGGGATATTCAGGATACTGACTCCAGCCTTGCCCAGACTGACGCTCACTGGTCCAATCTGAGAGAACCCATCACCCTAGAATCACTGAAAAACTACACTTGACTTTTCAGCAGTTCTGATATCCTTCCAAAAAAGATACAACTCACAGAATTAGAATTTCTACTGTATATCTAAATCTTGTTTCTGTTGGCCTTCATTTTCACCTCTCAGGGGGCAATGGTAGGGAGCCACCAAACTCTCCTAACGCTTGCATTATTTCAGAAGCATAGCTGAATAGCCTATTCTAAGAAAAATTATGGGAAACAGATAAAAAGTGGTATAAATAAAGTGATATGGATCACAATTCCTTACTGTGAAAATGAAGAGATAATAGAGTTTTTGAAAAAAGAATAATCACAGTTATATAACTTACAGACACAAAATTCTCATTTTAAAGAACTGAGGGACACCACAATGGAGCATTACTCATCAATGGATCCTAAGGTTTGTCGTGATGTGTGCAAAACACCAAGACATAGAAAGTGATTCAATAATATGTTTTTTCCCTGATATTCACCGTTTTTGTCTTTGAGGACAAAAGTAGAATCTTTAAAAATCCTAACATTGAGTTTAACGAAAGAAAAACCTATTTACATACGTGTGTGTGCATGTGTATATATGTCCCATGAATATACTTATGTACCTACACCATATATAATACATATTATACATACATATAAAATTTTAAGTCCAGCTTGTCTTTTCTCCTGTTCAGATTTATCTAATTAAAACCCATGATAAACTTTATGGACTCTAATATTTCCAACCGAATGACTGAAACCAAGAGGGTGTGCCTCTAGGCAGCAAGGCAACAATGATAAGCAGCAGGTTAGCCACTAATTTCTCAACCAGGGTAGACTGTGAAAGTGTGATGTTCTGATATCCAAGAAACTGTTCAGGAGAGAATAGGATAAATCAAGTTTAATAACTCTGCTCCTAATTGTTCCCCCAATGCTCAACTCTAATTACTTGGAGAACTCTCCTGACTGTCACCTGATATTAAGTTGTTGGAGGCTGAGCCTGGAACAGCAAGATAATCAATAAACATTTAGTGGGGAGAAGAATGAAGATCCTGTTAAGCAGTGGGAACCTGCAGCACCCAAAGCCCTTCTGCTCATGAGAAAACCTATGGGACAGCCATAGTGATTGCAAAGCAATAATCCAAAGCACTGTTTTTAGGCCTTGAGGCCTTTAGGCAACAGTACATTTGAGGAAAAAAGGTTAACACGGTCACCCTAATTACAGCCCACTTTCACATACTTCATATATAAGCGAAGACAAGCCAATTAGGTAGAAAGGAAGATAAGGGAAGTTTTATTTGTATACTAATTAAACCCCTGATGAAATTAAAGGAAAAACATACAGCTCTGTAATTGTGTCTGAGAAAGGTCACTTCAGGTTCAGTTATCAGAACAGCACAGCCTTGAGATATTTCACTTAATCCACAATACAGCCCTCATTTTGTACTCAGGTCTTAATATTTACCAAAAAAAAAAATATTCAAAGCCTGATACTGCATTTATCTTTAAACTGTGTTGTGAACAATTTTAGCTGTTAGAAAGTTAATGCTAAATATGATAACAGGAGTTTTTTAAAAGACAGAAAATATTCCACCGACACAAGTACCAGTAACACAAAATTATTTATCAACGATTCCAAGTTTCCACTTCAAATCCAAAATGTCTTAAAGCAAAGTTTTACAAAAAAATCCCAAGCTGAATGTATTTCAGAAGCTATTCTGCAATATATTTATTTAATTTCTTTTTAGATAATAATGTCATTGCTCACTTTCATTTACACCTCTCATAGTCCAGGAAAAAAGCCAATGTTTTCACTGAACTCCTCTAGTAAGAAGATATTTTTACATCTGGTTGTTTTCCTAAGATGGTCATGAAAAGCTATTTGCTATTAATGAAAGCTGGCAGTAAAAGTATGGATACCAAGGAAGTAGTTAAGCACAGAGGAAGCTTAGGGACAGACTATAGGATAGATGTGAATTTTAAACTACCCACACATTTTTTAAATTTCTTTTTTCTTATCTATAGTTTCTGAAGTTTCTATAATAAACATGTGTTACTATTGCATAAAAACACAAATTATTTTCTTAAGTCATATATAATTTCATATTTCTAAAGCTTTAAAAGTTTATTAATGTTAACAATTTTTAAAAAGTTAATTGTGAATATAAATTGAAATTCTGCACCTATGAAAACATTTTGTGCAGTGGAATTTTTAAGTAACAGCTTTATTGAGATATAATTCACACTTTTAAAGTGTACAATTCGGTGGGTTTTACTATTCACAGAGTTGCACAACCATCACCAGTGGAGGTCTCTTTTTGAAGAGAAGTTCATTTAAAAAAAAAAACTTATCAAAACAATATGGCTACCTAAATATAGTATGTCTCATTATTTCAGCAAATTCTAATTTTAAATGACACAAGATATACAAGGTTTATTATGTTGTTCAGTAATAGTTTCAAAGTGTAAAATTTATAACATGAATTCCCTAAACCAGAATATCTGATTAGTAAGTGTGGTGTTTCATACAAAAGTTAAAGTTATCTGAAAAATGTGCACAGCTGTCCAATGATTATTTCTGGAAGTTAAGGGATCATCCAAAATAGTTCTTTCTCATAAGGGTACAGTACTGCACTACTATAGACCATTAGGCCAGCTAGGAAGACCAAGCCCCAGGAGATACCACTACTATAGATTTTCTTTTGTCTAATGGGAAATATCTATGGATCCACATTCCTACAGACTAAAAGCTAATGGCTTATTCAATTTGGAATAAAAGTTAGTCATACAAAATGAAAGGCAAGACAACAACCCATGTGTTATAAAGAACTAAGCCACATTTCCTAGGTCAGAAAAAAAAAATCTATAACATTTTTTTCTAAAACTTTACTACTGTCTGACTGCAACTTCAGAATAAACATTCCTAGATTGTGATAAATCAGGCAAAACATCTCAGGGTATAAAACTAATGTTGGAAAAGGAAATGGCACTGTCCTCAGCCCTACCATTATAATGTGACAACAAGCAAGTTATACTAATCAAGAACTGAGTAGCTGCTGGGTGGATCAAACTATCTACACTGCCGTAGAAAGTATAAATTTAAAATGATACAACCATCAAATTTGCAATTGGGTAAGCAAGTTAGGGATGAAACTAAAGAATAACATATTTTACAATAAAGTGAAAAATCTGTGAGATA